TTCGTTAGTGACATTGTTACAAATAAAGACTTAATATTGTACGAAATTATTTATTTTGAATTTATATTTGAATATATATATATATATATATATATATATAAATAAATAAGTGAAATAACTTTGAGGGAAAAATTCTTTTAGAAAATACATTAAATACGAGAAATAAGTTATGTCACCTTCTACATATGATCACTCATTGAAATAATAATTATAATATTTTATTATACAAAAATAAATATATTATTATGCATTGGAAGATTGCACTCCAATTCTCATGGTCAAATAAATTTTAAATTAATTTGTTAATCCTTATGAATATAACTCAAACAACAAAATATAATTATTTTTTATGACGATTCATTTTTATAAATAATTATTTAGCGTGAATTTTCATTCCAATTATCAATTTTTTTTTCTTTTTTGTTATTTTCTTCCTTTGTAAGTAACATAATTCTTTGGATAAGAAAACTTTATATTATTTTCTACAACACCCCAGAGTTTGCATTCGTGTCATAATATTAACACACACACACACACACACACACACATAAACAGACATAATTTTCTCACTTTTATGTATGACCTATTATTAAAATAATAATTAGATTATTATTTACAGATAAATAAATAATTATATATATAATTATGCATAGAGAACTTGCAGTACTCTAATTTTGATGGAAGAATAAATTTTAAAATTATTTGTCATAAGTAAGTAAAAAATGAGAGACACGGGGAGATATAATATAAAGTTATATTTGTCATAAGTAATGTAATTTATTTGACTAAAATGGATAAAATTTTTATAAAAGTAAAATAAAAAGTATCATCTACAGATATTGGTACTACCATTCATATCTGTGTGAAATGTATCTCGAAAATAGTGAGTAACCTCTTTATTTCGACATAACAGTTTAACTGAACTTAGGTTTCTTTTACTAAGATCAATCATAAATATGGAAAAAAACAAAAGAAAATAAAAAAATAAGACAACTTAGAATAGAACATAAC